AATGAGAAGAGCACGGCTGAAATCAGGTAAGCAATTCCTTTGGAATAGCCTCACAAAACATAAAATACATAGGAGTTACTTTAACTAAAGAAGTGAAGGACCTTTCTGATGGAAACTTTAAAAACCTGAAAAAGGAAATCAAAGCAGAACTCAGGAAATGGAAAAACCTCCCATGATCCTGGATCCAAAGGATCAACATTGTGAAACTGGCATTACTTCCAAAGGCTATCTACACGTTCAATGTGATAACTATCAATATTCCAACCTCATTCTTCAAGGAACTAGAAGAAGCAATCCAAAAATTCATGTAGAACAATAAAAGAACCTGAATAGCAAAAACAATCCTTAACAGAAAGAATATTTCTGGAGGAATATATATACCAAATTTCAAACTCTACTACAAAGCCATAGTAATCAAAACAGCTTAATACTGTCACAAGAACAGACCTGAGGACCAATGGAATACAACTGAAGACCCAGAAATGAACTCACAGACATATAGCCACCTAATCTTCGACAAGGAAGGTAAAAAAAAATGAACAGAATAAAGAAGTAATCATCAATAGATGGCGCTTGCAAAATTGGTTAACCACCTGTGAAGAAGAAAAGTTAAATCCTTATATCACCCTGCACCAGAATCAACTCCAAATAGATCACAGATCTCCAAGTTAAAGCAGACAATCTGAAAACATTACAGGAAGGAACAGGAGAGCCCCTGGCTAAGGCCGAAATTTTTTTAATAGAGGCCCAGAAACACAATAAATCAAAGAAACTTTGGACAAATGGGATTGCATGAAGCTGCAGAGCTTCTGTATAGCAAAGGCCATAGTGAGCAGGATCAATAGAAAGCCCACAGATTGGTAGAAGAACTTCGTTCGCCATACAATGGACAAGGGTCTCATATCTAAAATATACTTAGAACTCAAAAAATTAAATCCCCCAAAAACAAATCCTAAAAGAATCAACAGCCCAATAAATAAGTGGGCTAAAGGCTTAAAGAGAAACTACTCTGAAGAGGAAGGAAAGATTGCCAATAGACACATGGAGAAATGCTCAACCTCCCTAGCTATAAAAAATGCAAATCAAAACAACATTGAGATACCACCTCACCCCAGTTAGAATGGCTATAATCAAGACCTCTACTAACAATAGATGCTGGAGGGGATGTGGATAGAAGGGAACTCTACTGCATTGTTGGTGGGACTGTAAACTTGTCCAACACTTTGGAAAGCATTATGGAGATTCCTCAAAAGACTCCACACAGTGCTCCCTTTGATACAGCCATACCATGTTTGGGCATATACCCAAATGATAACAAACAAGGCCATACTAAGGCTCCCAGCACAACTATGTTTATTGAAGCATTATCTACCATAGCTAAGATATGGAGTCAATGCAGATGCCCCTCAGTAAATGAATTAAGTGAAGTGAGCCAGACCCAAAGAAACATAGATGGTATGGTTTCCCTTATTTGCAATAACTAGTACATGTCTAGGACAAGCACAAAAGGTGAAAAATTATGTACATATGACCATATAAGATATATAAGATAATGTTATGTGAAATAAACACCAAGATAGGGACACAAATATTTTTTTCTTGCTTGCTATTTTTTCTAATGTATTTTTAATGTACCATGTGATTTTTCTGTTTCTTTGTATGTTCCTTCGCCACTGTATAACCCCTGTTTTCACTGCATCTTGTACATACATTTCTCTAATTTGGGGAGGAGAAGGGAAAAAACAAAATGCGTAAATAGGGATACAGTTTGACCCATTTTAACAATGAGATGTACACGACATTATATTGCAAATGAACTTTACAACTTTGGTTGGGGGGGAGGGGAGGGCCGGGTGGAGATAATTTTGGAGGTGGGAGGGACAGGATTTTAGGGAAAAAACAAAGGAAGAGGCCACAAGGCCCGATAGGAATTATACTCGTTACCTTGCTCATGTAACTGTAATCCCTCTGTACAATATTTTTACATTAAAAATGTACAAAAAATGAAGCCACAGGAAAACCACACACCACAAGCAAGCCAGAGACTCCTCCAAGAGACTGGTTATGGACACAGGGGAGATGTAAGTTTCTCCCCTCCCCCCAAAAAAATAATCTAAGAACACTTTTTCCAACCTAATTTTTAGAATTTTTTCAAAAAATTATTTTTTCATCATTTTTATTTTTGGTGTGTGTGTTTGTTTTTTTAAACTCTACACTTTTCACTTTTGGTCTTTTGGGGTTATTTTTGAGTGACTTAATTGCTGTTCTGCTCATCCCCAGATATATACCCATCTCCAATTATTAGACTTTATCATTCATTATGTGCATACCTAAATTAAAAATTTATTACTTAATTCACACTCAGCCTTAACTCTTTTAATAGTAATAGTATCCCTTTATACTTATATAATGTAAGTGCTTTATTTTTTAATTTTTAATTTTTTCATTTTTCATTTTTTAACCTCTCTCCTGACCTTCTATCTTTCTTCTCTCAATATTTTCTTTATACTTATATAATTTTTATGTTTCCTTTTTAAATTTTTTTTCATTATACCTTGTTTCTTTGTTTCTCTCCTCCTTTCCTTCTGTTTCCTCTCTCTGAATTTACAATTTGGTTAAATTCCCTCTCTCCTTTTCCTTCCTCACATTCTTCTAATCTTATTTTCTTCCCACAATGCTCCCTAAACCTAATAATTTCTGCTCTACTGAATTCTTCTTTGAAATTTTTAGTCCACTGATCTATAGTTGTTTGTTGTTGAACTAGATTGTACCTGTTGAAATAGATTGTATATGTATTCATTTTGACTGCTTCAAACAATCTGGGCAACTATACAGTTCTGGTTGATGCTTGCCTAAAAATAGTGTTCTAGAGAAAAATTGGTTTTTCTTTCATATGAAATGGGCAGAACAAGCTGAAGAAACACAAGAAAAATGGAAAGTCCAAGTATATCAATTCTCATTCATAATAATCACGTGACAAAACAGTTAATAGATAATCCAGAGGAGAGTTCACAAAATCCTTTACAAACACTACCTGTAAACATGCTGAATGAAAAGATTGAAAGACTGCAATGGGTCCTGTGTGAGTGTGATAGGGAAACAGGTGAGCACGATAAGGAAAAGTGGGAGTGTGATGTGGATAAACTAGGATTAACACAGTAAATTTGTGAGCATGATGAGGCTAACCAAAGATTAATACAGGCATTGCATGAGAGTAAGGAAACTAACTAAAGATTAATACATGCATTGCATGAGGATGAGGAAGCTAACTAAAGATTAATACAGGAATCCCATGAGCATGAGGAAGCTAATCAAAGATTAACACAGGAACTGAATGAGCAGATGAGAACAGACAAAGATTAATACAAGAATTTCATGATATTCAACAAAAAATTACCAGCTCCTCTGGGACATATCAAAGGCAGTACTCACAGCCAAGTTTATATCTCTGAGTTCCTATATCAACAGATTGGAGACATCTGAAGCAAACAATTTAATGAGACACCTGAATCTCCTTGCAAAAAGAGCAACAACCTAAACCCCAATCCAGTAGACAGAAATAATTAAAATTAAGTCAGATTTAAATGAATTAGAACCCAAAAACCATAGAAAGTATCAACCAAACAAAGTGTGTTCTTTGAAAAAAAATTTAAAAATTGACAGCCCCTTAGCAAATCTTATCATGAAAAAAAAGAGAACACACCCAGATAAACAAACTCAGAGATGAGAATGGAAACATCACCACAGAAAAAAACAAGACAGAACATGAGAAGTGAATACTTCTCAAACATTTATGCTAATAAGTATGAGAATCTAGAAGACATGGATGATTTTCTAGCAAATATCGACATGGCAAAACTAAATCAAGATGATTTAAATCAACTTAACAGACCCATATCAAGCATCAAAATAGAAACGGCAATAAGAGACCTCCCAACCAAGAAAAGCCCAGGACCAAATGGATTTACAGCTGAATTCTACAAGACCAACAAAGCAGAACTCACACCAATACTCCTCCAATTCTTCAATGAAATAGAAACTTAAAGTACACTACCAACCTCTTTTTCTGACGCCACCATAACCCTCATGCCCAAACCAGGCAGGGGCTCATCAAAAAAAGAGAACTGTACCCATTGCTTTGATGAACATTGATGTAAAACTTCTCAACAAAATTTTGGCCACAGCCTCCAAAGATGTCTCAGGGAAATTCAACCTAAGGCATTAAAGTCCTCTATCAATCTTGAAAACCAGAGCATGTACAAGAAAGACACTATGTTGAAAATGAATTTTACAACTTCAGGGGTAGGAGGTGAGGGAGGAGTCTGGAGGTGGGGAAGAAATGTATGGTAGGGAAAAAACAAAGGAGGGAATGATAATGCTCAATAAGAAATGGACTCTTTACCTTGCTCATCTAAATGTAACCCTCTGTATGGTATCTTTACTAGATAAATAGATAGATAGATACATACATACATACATTGAGATATAATCCGAGAAGGGTATAGAGCAGGAAGCTTCTCCAATTTCCATTCATGACGATGAATATTTACAAGGAAACTCTCAGGTTCATTTCCCTTTATAATTCCAATATTGTCCTTCAAAATTTTTTTAAAATCTTTTTTTATTGTGAAAATACCATACAGAGGGGTTACAATTACATGGGCAAGATAATGAGTACATTTCTTATCAAACTTTGTTGCCTCCTCCTTTGTTTCCCCTACCCGTCCCTTCCCAGCTCCCACAAACTCTCCCCCTCCCTCCAAAATTGTAAAGTTCCTTTTTTGACATAACATCTTGTAAATCTATCTCATTGTTGCAATGGGTCCACCTGTATCCCTATTTAAACGATTTTTTTCCCTTTTCTTACTGGTCTTATTAACTCTTGACACACAGTGTTAGTGTTTGCCCAATCTAACTGTTTTAGAATTATTTGCGATCCCTCAGAAGGAGGGAGCATCCTAGTAATAGCGTCCTCTAATCTGGCTATAAATTCCTCATACAGTTCCTCAGGCCATTGCTTAATTCCTGATAAAACAGTAGTCTTTCCTTCCCCTGGTGGTAACTTTCTCCAGGCCGTAACTGCGAGTTTAGTAATAGTTTCCAAGGCCTCTTTTGGGAGCTTAAGCTGCTTTTTAATATCTGCGTAATCTTCCTGACCAGTTAACATGGAGAGTGTAGACTTAAAGCCTGAAGTGGTGAATAATCGCCGCTGCACTTCCCCTTTTACTAGATCCTCATATTCTGTCCTCCACAGTATGTACTGTCCCGGGGTAAACACAGATTTTGCAGTTTGATACCAATCATAAGGAGTCAGCCAATTGCTTGCTATGGAGTCCATTATTGTTAAAGTAAAAGGGGCAGAAGGACCCACAGTCTTTACTGCTGTTTGTAGTTCCTTTAATAATTTTAATGATAGGGGCTCCCATTGCAGAGCACCATAGTCCAAATCTATAATAGGGAAAGTGAAAGCAGTATGGCCAAGCTTTTTGGCTTCTAACATGGCTGCTCGAAAACCTGTGGGTGGAAGTGCGGGCGTTTTTACTTTCTCAATATCAATATCCCAGTCTCCGTCTAAAGCTATAAGTGGTTTTTCCTCATTGTCTATTTCCATTTTAGAGGCTCTTTTAGTCGTGCCATAGCTAGGACACTGGTCCGTATCTTTCAATTCAAATGTTTCCTCTGCTGTAGAATATGTTTCTTCTGCTAACCACTCAAATTCTGATTTTCTTCCATAAGATCTCTTGTGTCCATAAGGAGAAAGCTGTCATAGGGACTGCTGCTGAGCCATGAGCTTGGTAGAACTCCTTCATCCCCCATCCTACCCTTTTCCAATCTTGTAGAGAAAGGCTTCCTTCCTCCGGGAACCAAGGATTAGTTTGTAACACAAAATCATAAAATTCTCCCACTGGCGCTGTGGAGACTTTAATGCCTCATGCTTTTAGCATATGTTTTAAAATAGAGACAAACTATCCTTATTCTTAGAAGATGAACTCCCCATGATTCACTCCTTATCTTTCTCAGCCGCAGCTGAGGGGCCTGCAGCACCCCAATGAGTATTAGACTAACTATTCCAGGTGAAAAGAAAAGAGAGAAGGAAAGATATTTACCTCCCAAGGTTCCTTGGCCAAAGAGACTCCTTCAAGCCCCACCTTGGGCGCCACCTGCGGCAGACCGGCTCTTCAGGAAGGCGGAGGACACCTAGTGGGGGTAACTGGAACAGGTAGGGAGATGGCAAACAGACAACTCACACACAAGAGGAGTGAATGCTGAGTGCGATTTATTGCAGAGGATGACGAGCTTTTATAGAAAAAAGTCTCCATGAGAAAGGGCAAAAGGTTACACAATCTTGTTGCAAGGCTTTGGGTGGTCACCAGCTGGTTGCCTGATCTTGTTCTTGGATGATGAGCTATGACGATAGGTACTTGTTTCAGGCTTTACCTCAACAACCCCATAAGAATAGCAAAGTACAATCGGTTTTGAGATGCTTCTCACCTATTAACCATTAACCAGAGCATATGGGCAAGGTGTTAGACAAAGGCATAAACTCTAGTATTTTATTTTTACTTCTGCTTAGTTTTGTATTTTATACATTTCAAATCTTTTCTAAGCAATTGTGCTTCTTTGCCAATCTTCAGAAGGTCCTTAATTTGTGGCCAAAAATCATGATATTCAGTATAATTAGCTAAATCTGGCCATACATCAAATTCAGGCTTATAGTGTCTTCTCTGTAACCCTTTCACATATCGTTTACTCTTCTCCATAGAGGCCTTAACTGTCTCATAAGATCTTCCTTGTTCTTTTTGATAGTAAGCACCAAGGAAGCCTAGATCTAGCAAGTCTCTCAGTAAATGGAAGTTTACTGAGTAATAGGAAGTTTTTTCTCTTAAGTAATTTACCCAACGGTTGCCATCCTTATCATACACACCTGTAAAAGGCTATGGATCTGGGGGAAGTCTTTGAGGCCCTCTTGATAAGGGAGGATCCCACCAGCGTCCCCTAATAAGCCACTGCCACCTTCCATCCACAAATCTTTTAGGAATCTTATTTAGTTTTTGGTCTAAATATCCCTCTACATCTTTCTTATCTACAGGGTATCTACTGTAGATACTTCAGGATTAAAGGGAAGTCTCCAATAGCCATACACTCTTTCTGCTCTAGCTGTGCCTACAGCTCCTTGTAAATTTCTTACAAACAATTCCTACTGCTGAAGTGAAGTCATAAAACCCCCAATGCTTTTATTTTCACTTATGACTTGTTTAATAGCCTCCATAAGAGGGGTTTTCAGGGTAGCACTTAAATCTGGTGGATTAGTCATATTCTCAGGACACTCATCGGATGTTGGAGTCGTCATCACTTCCAAGAAAGAGCCTTGAATAAGAGAATGAGTATGAGTATGAGAATGAGCATGAGTAAGTATAACAAGCAGCAGGAACAGTAAAAGAATAATGGGCACTCCTATGCAGTGAAGAAAAGAGAAACAGGAACAGGAACACATCTTTCATAGGGGATTGCCAGACTTTCCACGAGGTAGGCCTCTTTGAAGCCCCATTCTCAGATCTGATACCAGATGTTCCATGCTAAGCAGACTCCACTGGAGTAGCCGTGGCAAAGAAAGGCAATCCTCTGGATGCAATGCTACCTCTGCCTAGACCGAGTGACTTCCCCAGGGTGGAGCTGAGCCTGGCAGGTCAGGTCAGGCTCCTGCGACCTACTAAATGACTTTTTTGTTTTCTTCCAAGGCCTGAGTTGGAGCTAGCTGCTCAGCTGGGCCTTTGTCCATATCAAAGTTGGAGATTTCTGGTGGTGGGGAATGGGCGGCCTTCCCTCCTCTGCTGCCTGAGAAGGAGTAAGGATGTCAGGGTACTACTAATGCGAGAGTCTTGGTTCCTGGGTCTTCTTTGGTCTGTGATCTGTAGGATGAAGATAGTTGCTCCTTCTCAGTTCTTGCTGGTGGCGAGTAGAATCCACTCGCCTGCCACGTCTGACACCTTTGTCCTGCACTCTCTCTGTTGGTATGGCAGCTATGGCCACTGTCGCTGCTATTGCTGCCTCCGCAGCCACAACTACCAGCAAGTGCTCAGATCTGGCTCCTTGCCTGGATTTTCCCACTCTGGCCAAACTCATTGTACTGTGATGGCACACTTGGTGTGATTCTCTAGCCTAGGACTATTCACTGGAACACTAAAACTGCTTTCTATGCATGAGCTTGTTTAGCCTCCAGCTTCTCTTCCACCATCTTCCTCTGAATCCAAGTCTGGAGTTTTTGCTACTACAACCACAATTACCACAGCCCCAAATTGAGTTGTGTTGCTTCCTTGGGCCAGAGGAGAGAGGCACAGGGATGGGGAGGCGAGGGTCCTTGGCCACTTCTGCTGCCACTGCTCTGCCTTGTCTGGCGCTGCCTCCCCAGGCTTATGCATGCCAGTGCAGGGTGGCTCTGAGCCCTGAAGCATGTCTGGGGTTGCCCCGGGTTGGGCCCAATTCTTACAAGGGCTGGTGCAGAAAGGGGCTCACTGTGCTACAAGCCTGGAGACTTTTGAAACTACCAGCACAATTACTAGAGCCCCAAACTTAGTTGGGTTGCCTTCACAGGCTGAGGGAGAGAGGCACAGGTCTGGGGAGTCTAGGGTCCTTCGCTGCTGCCACTTCCACCGCCCTGCCTCGGCTGCTGCTGCCAACTCAGGCTTATACAGGCCAGTGCAGGGAGGTGCTGTGCACTGCAGAGAATCTGGGGTTGCCCCAGGATAGGCCCATGAAAGCCAGTGCAGAAAGGTGCTGTGTAGTACTGACAGCCTGTGCTTGTTTGTTGCTGCTACTGCTGTTGGGTCTTCCCTGGTCTCGACTGGGCTGTTCCTGGAGGCCGATGTGGAGAGACTGTGAACTGCACATCTGGGGTGGTTCGTCACCACTGTCACTGCCACAACCACTGCTCCTGCTGCTGTTGCTGGCTGCCACTCAGGGCTAGGCTAGGCTGTTTATGTTGGCCTGGGTGGAGGCACTGTGCCTTGTGGGGGGAGGGGATCTTCATGCAGGTTCTGCATTCCAAGTTTTCTGCTTATATTATCCAGTTTGGAACTAGCTATTGGGAATTGTCCCAGAGCCTTGGGACACTTGTAGCTCTGTGGTTTCAGGTGTGGAGCCCTGCCACTCAGCATGGGCCCTGCTGACTGCAAGGGGTGAGGGAAGGGTCTTCCTACTTTACTGTCTTTGTGTAAGTTCTGGAGTTTTTCCTTTTTCTTTTTTTCACTTCTGGTATCTGTCTGAATAATCACCTTTTTGTTGTTGGTGGTCTTTTGAAGAAATGGAGCATTAAAACCTGAACTCTCTATTTGGTTGTAGAGAGCTGTGGTGTTTCCCTACTGTTCCATTGCCATCTTGCACCCCTCTTTATTTATTTATTACACATTCTTATTGTTTTTGTAAAAGTGATAGACAAATGAGTTTAATTATGTAAGACAGATACGGAAACACTTATTTTAACTGCAGATGATATGCCATATATTAGTTAGGCATCAACAGTTGATTATAACATTAACCAGTTTTGAAAAAGGAGGCTCTGAGATGGGAGGGAAAGGATGGTAGGAGAAAAACAAAGGAGCAGGCACAATGCTTGATAAGAAATGTACTCATTGGGGCTGGGAAGGTGGCTCAGTGGTAGAGTGCTTGCCTTGCATGCCTGAGGACCTGGGTTCGATTCCTCAACACCACATAAGCAAAAAGAAAAAAGCCAGAAGTGGCACTGTGGCTTAGGTGGTAGAGCCCTAGCCTTGAGCTGAAGAGCTGAGGGACAGTGCCTAGGTCCAGAGTTCAGGCCCCATGAAAGGACCCCCCCCCAAAAAAAGAAAAATGTACTCATTACCTTGGTCAGGTAACCCCTGTAACCCCTCTGTACAGTATTTTCACAATAAAAAACATTTTACAAAGAATGTAAATACATTAACCAGTTTAGAATAACTAAAACCAAGCAAGTTATTCCTGTTGTCAAATGTTCTGTTAATTGTTATGCTATTTTCTAAAAGGAATTACCAAACTAAAATAACCCATTTATTTCCATCTGATGAATTTTGCACAAACTGAAGTTCAGTGAATGATGGATGGCTTTTCCAAAGTTGGGAGAAATTATTTCTTTGACTCAATGTCATGGAAGCAATGTGTCCTTATGAAACTGTTTTTATTCCTTAGAAAGACAGTCAGGGTTTCAGACCTTTTTGAATGAATCTTGAATGCTGTTGTTTTGTATTATGAGAACACTGTGACATCTGAAAAATCAATGTTAATCAGGCATAATAGATTTTGATGCACTGATGGGATATCTTGGATTTCTTTCTTGAAGCTTTCTTTTAGAACATGTATTGACTTCTTCACCTCCTAGATTTAGTTTTTGGTGTTCATTTTCAAATCCCTTAGTTGAGTGGCTATAGTTTCATTTGGCTCCCTTGCCTTCTGTTGGAATTCTTCCAGCTTTTGGTGTACTACATGCATTCCTCTAGCCTTCTCACGCTCATGAGTAGCCTGATTCAGGCTTTCACTCTTTTCATTCGGCATGTTTTTATTCAGCAATATTGTTTGTACAGCATTTTGAGAACTAGTCTCATGATTTTTCATTAACTTCTCTGTTGCCTGTTTGACTTGAATGGGCAATGAGGTTCATTGACTTGCCATTTTTCTTGTGTTCCCATGGCTTTTTCTTCCCATTTGGAAATGAAAGAAAATTCACCTCACTAGAACACAAAGGATAAATGCAGAGCCATGTAGTTGTGCAGACTTTGGAGGCTAACAACAAAAAAATGTGTGTTTTTACTCTATGCCACCGCTTTTGAGAATGAAAGTATAACCAGTTCAATACCACAACACAATTCTAAGATAAGTTTCAAACCAGAGCCTTGTGGTTGCACAGACTGTGTAGGGTCCCAATTAAAGATAAGTGTTTTCACTGTATCTATCCTTTATTGGAAATGAACACAAGTTTAAGACACACACCACCCAGAACCCTGTGGTTGCAAAGATTTTAGAAGTTCACAAACAAAGATAGGAGTTTTCACTATATCTCTACATTTTTGGGGATGAAAGTATATCCACTTCCACCCCAGATCACAATATTAAAACAAGCACCATCCAGCTACTGGTGGCTAATGCCTGTAATCCTAGCTGCTCAGTAGGCATAGATCTGAAGATCATGGTTCAAAGCCAGCCTGAGCAGGAAAGCCTGTGAGACACTTATCTCCAATTAACCACCAGAAATCCAGAAATGCTGCTATGGCTCACTTGGTAGAGCACTAGCCTTGAAATGAAGAGTTCAGAGACAACAGACAGGCCCAGAGTTCAAGCCCCACAACTGGCAAAAAAAAAAAAAAAACAAGCACCAATCTGGTGCCCCTAAGTTCAGTAGTCTTCCCAGGTTCATACTCAAAATTAGGTATTTTCCCTCTGTCTCTCCTCTTTTGGAATGGAAAACTTCTATTCCACAGCAGAATACAATATTAAGGGAAGCCTGAAACCAAAGCCATCTATTGCACAGATTTTGGAAGTTCACAATCAAAGATAGGTGTTTGCACTATCTCTGTGCTTTTTAGGAAATAAAAGTACATTCAATTCCACACCAAGACACAATTTTAAGACAAGCAGCAACCCAGAGCCCTGTGTTGCATAGATTTTGGAGGATACTTGTTTTCACTCTATCTCACTTTATTTGATATGTAAGTAGGCCCATTACCAACATGGAGCACAGTTTTAAGACAAATCCAACCCTGGACCATGTATTTACACTGATTTTACATGTTCACCATCATAGATAGGTATTCCCCTATTTATTGAGTTTTAAGAGTTTGTATTATATATAGTTCTAACCAAGGAACAAGTGTGTTATGAGATTTAAAATAATTTGGACCAAAAGGATAGCAACATGAGCCACTTTGGTATAGTCTCATTGGCTACAGATTTAGTTTAGCTTATGTCTCACAACTGGGGAACAACAAAGTAAAGAAAGCAAAGAAGGAGTGAAGGACCAGGAATAATGGAAAATGGTTTGAGGTGAAATTAGAGGAAAGATTGAGAAATGTAAAAACAATTAGCAGGAGAAATCAGAGTAGAGTCATGTAGAGAAGAAATGGAACAGAGGGAAGAAAATTAGGACTTACATTCAGAGTAAGAAAAAAGAAACAGAGAGAAGAGAAAAAAAAGAAAAGGAACAACTTAAAAAATAAAAAATAAAGTTTAATTATATGAAGTAATAATACTAAAGTTAAAAATATTAAGAATGTGCAGTAGAGAATTGGGTAATCAACTTATATTCAGAATCAAGTACAGACACAGTTGTGGAGAAAGCCCAGTAATCACCATAGGCTGTATTTCCAGGAATGAACAGAACAGCAATTAGGAAGAAAAAACCAAATGGGCTTGTATAAAAAGAAAACACAAAAAAATCAAAATCAGAAACAAAACACAAGAAACAGAAAAAAAATGAATTAACAAAAAGTGAAAATCGTTTAAAAACAAGAAAAATTAAATATAGATATATATAAACATTATAATAAGGAATAAAAAATACTATTTATTTGGAGGATGTTGTGTCTCCCCTGAGTCCTCTTTTCAGTTTCTTGATGGTGTATTTGGTTTGCTTGCAGTAGTCAGTTTTTCTTGCAGCTTAGTTGGTTCTCCAAATCAGATTGTTTGAATGGGAATAAATAAGTTCTATGTACAGGACTGGGATCTTTGTCACCTTCTTTCCAGACTAATTTAGTGGTCACAAGATCTGCTTTTCATTTAATGCAGAGAGGAAGTGGCTGGCTTCTGTAGGTTGTTGCTGAGAGTGACCTTGAGTGTTTGGAGATTGGGGCTGGTTGGAATCAGTGGCTTTATCTGATGGGGGTAGCACATTTTTGGCTAGCCCATTTATGGATAGCCCATTGTTAGGCCCAAGCTGGAGACTGGAGACACTACGGGCTTTTATAGCCTGTCCCCTCCCCCTTTATTAGATGATTTTTAGTGAGATTTTGCCGATTTTTGGTTTTGTAATTCCTGTAGCTGGTTAAGCTGTAGGTTTGGCTGTTCCCTGCAGAGGAGGAGGGCTGCTTCTCTGGAGTCACCAGAGTTGTTCAGCCCTGACCCTGTGAGAAGTTTTCTCCTCCTGGGCAGGGAAGGTTTCCTCAGAGCGGAGCTGATTCTCACAGATCCAATTTCTTTGCTCTGATGAAAAATGGTGCCACAATCGCTGTTTCTCAGCCTTAGTTATCTGCTGGCCATTATGGCAGGATCTATGCCAGTATCAAATATGGCATTCTTCTCAGGTTGCAGTAAGGAGAGGATTACCTTTCATAGCCCTTTCTGTGGGAAGGAGTGGATGTCGTTTTGGGGATGCTCATAGGTTCCCTTGGCTTTTCAGACTGATCCGCAATCCTCAGTGGCCAGCAGAATGTTGATTTCCACTCCTATTTATCCAGCTCCCACTAGAGGAAGGGAGAGATAAGCATTCTCGGCCTCTGGTGCCTTTTTATCAGCTTTGTCTGGCCCTGCTCCAGCTGCCATTGGCAACATCTTTTACTCAAATATGTCTTCTCATGCAGACTGCCTGAATTTTTCCTCACTGGGAGGAATCTCTGTACTATGATGGCTCAATTGATGTGATTTTCCAGTAATGGATTTTTCCCTGAAGTGTGAAAACTTGTTTCTTGGAGAGAGCTCAAATAGGTCCTACCTACACCTCTGTCATCTTCCTGCTGGCTTTTGCAGTTATTTAATATAACAAACATCAAGTAAGTATAATAAACTCTTTGCTCCACTTTGAAGTTACATTAATTGAAACTGAAAAAACAGTGACCTATTTTCAATCTTCTACATATACTGATCCAGTTTTTGGACGTTTGTGCAATGATACAACTCTTGAATGTGTGTGTGTGTGTGTGTGTGTGTGTCTGCACAGTAGGCACCTGTGTCAAACTCATTTTGAGGCCTTCTGATTTGTTCTGTTGGTCTTCTTGTTCTTCTTTGTTTGGGGAAGTACAATGCTGGCTTTGTACTAGGGCTCTGTAGTATAATTTGAAGTATGGTGTCATAATATTTTCTGTATTACTCTTTATGCTCAAGATTTCTTTGGCTTAGTGGGGTCTGTTTTTCTGTATCAGTTTTAGGATTGAATTTTCAATTTCTATGATAAGTGACTTTGGGATGTTTATAAGGATTTCTTTGAGTATATATATATATATATATATATATAAATACCTAAATATATGTATATATAATTTGAGTGATGCAAATATTTTCACATTAGTCCTTTTCCCAATCTATGCCCAATGGATTTTTTTTCCTTCTATGTCTTCTGATTTTCATAAAATTATGGTTTTCTTTGTAGATCTCTTTCACTTCCTTGGTTGCATTTATTCCTATGTATTTAAGATATATTTCTTAGGTACTATTTGGAATTTGATGGTTTCTCTGATGTCTTTCTCAATCTGGTGATTGCTGACATACTGACTACTTTGCTGAATGGGTTTAACTTAAATTTATGATTATTTGTCACAGTTCTAATTCCATTTCTTGTGAGTGACAATTTTAACCTTGTAGGTTGCTTTTGAGATATGTCACTATAGAATTGAGTCTATTAAGCACCTATTTTCCAGCATAGAAGCTCAATACAATCTTCAATGAAAGTATTAGGGGTCTGAGCCCTTAGTCTGGGAGCCTCACACAATTCTTACCAAGACTGTGATTTTACCTTCTCCCAAATCAACCATCAATTCACAATTTAATCTTCTCTTGTCCATTATTTTCCCTCCTTGGAAGCTACTGAGCTGTGGCTCTACCCAAAGCTAAAAGGAAAGCTTAGAGATATAGTTGCTCCAATGTCCTGCCCACCTGAGGCCTCTCACCTTACTTTTACTAACAAACTTTACATAGGTGTGTTCATTGTTTCTCTCCTAAGGTAAAGTCTTCATGTGTTTGTGCTGAAACTTGTTCATATCAGGGATTTCAGAGGATGATATTGATTGAATCCAAGCTACTTTCCTTCCTACCCTCATTTTCTTAGCCCTTCTGCTTTAAGACATGTGTGAGACAGGCTATTTTAATAGAGGATTCCCACAATGAATACTAAAAGGTAATGTTACTCCATCCCAAGCCCACTATGTCTCTTCCACTCTGTGAATTTGGAGGTTTTGGTTTTTGCTTTGCTTTCTTTTGTCTTTGTTCTACTTTGTTGCTGTTCCTGGGCAATCACTTCCTCCACACTGTTCTTGAGGTTTTTGGTCAGTGTTAGTAATTTGCCATTTTGAGCCAAACCCCTATATCCAGCTTTTTTTTTTGTAGTTAATTATAGATAAGTTGCTCAATGTCTTTCCTGTCCAGGCTAGCTTTGAACTGAACTGCTCAGATTTCAGATTGGTGAATACTAAGTGTTACAGACGTAAGTCACCAACATCCCGCTTGCTCTGCATATTTTTGAGATAAGTTTTCACTTCATAGCAATGCAAACAAATGGACTTCAATTCTTTTTTACATTTCCATCACAGCTGTGATTATAAGAATGCACTAATGTTGTGAATAGCATCCACATAGGACTGTCCAGAAACTCTCATTTCCTCAATCTCCACCTCTTACAGAGCTGGCATCACAGATATCTGCCACCCCACCCAGGCAAGACATCCCAAAATCATTTTTCCCATGCTGAATTCATAGAAGAATCTTCTTAGACTCAACTAGGGTAATCAGATTTTCCCATTGGTTTTGGATTAGTATTAATTTTTATACTTTTACAAAACTACACTGAAATTTTCAGTGGAATTAATTTGTAAATTTAATTCTGCCAAACTGTGAGTGAAAGGTTTTTTTTCCACCTTCTTATCTAGTGTCTTGTTCTTTGTAGATGTCTTTACAGATCTTTAATTTGGTTTTGAGTCCTAGGTATTAGTTTTTTTGAAGGCTCTATTTTTAAGGGATATAGGAAATCAATTTTGGACTCATGTGTACTTTATTTTAATTGATTACAAAATGAAGTTTGGTCCAAATACACAAAAGAGATTTTATTATTCCAACTCTAAGTAGATTGAATTTAAATTTTATTTTTTATTTATTTTTAATTTTTACTAATGTGTATATTTAAAATAGGTATCTTTATGATAATTTTATGAGTACATAAAGTTTTTTTTCTAAATGCCTTTATATCCATTATACTTTATTTCCTCTAAAAATTTCAATGATTCTAAAGGGTTCCATTGTTTTATTTTCATTCATGAATGTGATATCCCCAATATTTGATAGAGTATATGTAAAACATTTTAAAGCAACAAAATATCAGCTAAAAACATATGGCAGTTGATTCCTATTACCACACACACACACACACACACACACATAAACACACTTGCATGCACACATGCACACACACAGAAGATAGGTAAACCATGACTCAACTGCCAAACCCAGCTTACTTCTTATGAGTAAAGTATTATTGTAACAAAAACAAAAATCTTTCATATGGCTACATTTTCCTTGTTCCTTTCTTATCTCTGTTCTTCTACTTATTTTTCCATGAACTTTTCCTTTATATTCCATTTACTTTCTCCTTGGCTCTCCCACATCCAATCTTACTGCAACAAATCAATCCATCCTGTGTGTACATCATATTCATTTCTTCATTTAAGGGAAAAAGTGTTGTGTAAGATCACGGAAATCCTAACAGAAAAAAATAGCAAATACTATAAAATACTATGCAAAATCACTGCACTCACATATTCTCCCAATATTTTCCATGACCAAATGAGGATTCTGCATCTTAATTAACAACATAAAAAACTATATTAATTAAATTCCTAAAAAAAGAATGTAGTTGAAAACTCAGTAGAAATATATGAGTATTTTGATAATATCTTGATTGACATACTGAGGAAGTTGAAAATTATGTACATTATCATTTTTTAAACATCATGCTCTCAACAACAGAACAAGCACACAATATCCTTTTGTGAAAATATTTGTATATTTTCAACTAGAAATTTAATTTATAGAAAGCTATAGTACATTACATAGCCATATATTTATTACAAATGTAAATATGAGAAGAGATTAGAAGTCAGCCAGGGAGCAAAGTGTATGAGAGTCTTATTTCCAGTAAGAGGACAGTTAGAAATGCAACTGCAGTTCAAGTGGTAAAGAAGCATTGAGGGAAGAGGTGAAGGAGAGTATAGGTCCTGTTACAAGTATGAATAAATGAATTAAATTATTATCTGAAGAAATAAAAAGATAATTCTTAAACAGGCAAGAAATGAGTGCAATTGTGTCTATAGCTCTTAAAAATGTAATTATGTAAACATAGTATAGGGCCCACTAAATCAACCTATTTAAAACAATAAGTAAAGCTTGCCTTATAAATATTTTGAAATGTGGAAAATAAAAATTTTCTTGTTTTAATTGTAAGAAGTGATGATATTACAAGAAATAACCTTATATATAATATTCAAAATTCTTTGCATCAAATTAATGAAGAGATATTATCATCCATAAAATGAAGAGTGTATCTAGGCAAGAAAGGGCTTACTATTATGCACAACAGACTTTAAACTTAGGAGAAAATTGAAAAAACATTCTTCATTGTAAACTTAAATCAAAGTGCATTTTTGTAACATATACAAGTCATTCTCAAGTTATATGAGGGAAGCAGTGGGAGAGGGAAAAGAAAGACAAAGAAGGAGATGGAAAGAGACAAGGAGAAAGAGAGATCAAGCCAGAGAGAAATGTCCCACAAAGAGACTCAGGATAATTTCAAAAGATGAACATGTGAGTAGAAATATACAAATATTTAACAAACAAAATCGAAAGACAACATTAAAAATGTAAATTTTTGAAGAGGAAATATTAATGAACTATAATTGAGGACTCTGCAACATGGTGGTGGGAAGACAGGAAATTAATAAACATAATGATGTAGAGGAGTTATTGAGAAAGTCAAAGATAATCTTACCAGACTAGCAGCAAAACTATGTACATGTGAACATATAAGAAGATACTCAGTGAAATAATCCCCATGATAGGGACACAATAGTTTTTTTTAAATCTTTTTCACTGTCATTTTTAATGTACTCTGTGAATTTTTTTCCTTTTGTATGTTCTTTCCCCAAGTTATAACCCCTGTTTTCCCTGTAATTGATTGGGGTGCACGGCATCTTGCATACAAATTTTTCTAATTTGGGGAGGGGAAGGGAAATAATAAAATGCTGAAACAAGGACACAGGTAGATCCATTGTAACAATGAGATGTACAAGACACTATGTTGAAAACAAACTTTACAACTTGGAAGGGGATGCAGGGAAGGGGTAGGGACATGTGGCTGAAGGGATAGTAGGGGAAAACAAAGGAGGGATTAAAGATGATTGATAGGAAATGTACTCATTAACTTACTCATGTAACTGTAAACACTTTGTACAGTATCTTTACAATGAAAATATACATATATAAAAGACAATAGAGAAAAGAATTTAGGAAGAGTGGATAATATAAATAAGTGCAGATTAAATAGGAAGACCAAGATATAGAAGCACAACTCCAGTATAAATTGTGATTACCATCAGTTGTGACTACCATTGCTAGGAAATATGCAGTACAACCTTATTCTTTGAAGTAAAAATTCTATAATATAAACTATAACAAGAAGAGATCATTACTATTACTAGAGATTTAGATTACACCTTCTGTGTACTAATCAAACCTAGGCACTTAATACTAAGTATGCTTATTTCTCCTACTATGTCTTTTATCCCTGAAGCCATGCAGAGAATTTCTATTTCTCATTAACAAGAGGGTATAACACTTTGGGGCAAAAATGCAACCTAGGAGCCCTGCACCAGAGGCCAAGATGGAGAAAACCTCTACAGCCACCATGACCTTTCCCTTGGCACTGTGGTAGACAGGCAGGAAGGTGAGCCACACACTGCAGAACACCAGCATGCTGAAGGTCAGGAACTTGGCTTCATTGAAGGTGTCAGGCAGGTTCCTGGCCAGAAAAGCCACAGTGAAGCTGGCCAGGGCCAGGAAGCCCAGATATCCCAGGACACAGTAGAAGGCAGTGAGGGAGCCCTTGTTGCACAAGATGATGATGTTGCCATGTTCAGAGTGTGCATCTGTGTCCACAAAGGGAGGAGAGGTTCCCAGCCAGAGGCCACAGAAGGTCACCTGGATGAGCGTGCAGCTGGGGATGATGAAGTTAGGAGCTCCTGATACCAGCAGCCACCTCATCCTTCTTCCTGGGGAAGTGGCCTTGAAGGCTAGAACCACAGTCACTGTTTTGGCCAACACTGTGGAAACAGCCACAGTGAACACAACCCCAAATGTGATCTGCTGCAGGATGCAGGTAGCTGTTTGGGGTCGACCAAGAAAGAGCAAAGAACAGAGGAAACAGAAGATGAGAGAGATGAGCAAGATGTAACTGAGAGCCCGGTTATTGGCCTTAACAATGGCAGTGTCTTGGTGTTTCACAAACATCCAAAGAACAGCAGCAGTTAGCAAAGAGAAGCAAAGTGCCATGCAGGCCATAACCATGGCCAACGGATCTTCAAAAGCCAGGAAACTTGCAACTCTCAAGAGGCACTGTGTCCTGGGTGTGTTGGCATACTGATGATGTAGACATTTCACACATTGCTCCATATCTGGTGAGAAATGTACACCACCATTACTTTTTTATTAAGCAAGTTTGCTTCAAAGAATTTAGGGAATTTTTCCTTTAGGGGAAATTCTCAGATGTCTGCATTTACTATCATAAAAATTCTTTTGTATTTTTTGCAAGCCGTAACTGCTTCCCTTTTTTTTCTTCATCATTCAGGCATTTTTATACAATATTTTTAATTAATGACTATCACACATATAGATAAAATGATAGGTGGGATATGACATTATCTTATTAACTTTTTTATACTTTTTCTGACGCTAATTAAGAGTCGTGTAATCATATTAAAATTGGAAGTATACAGCTTACATTGCCCTATATGTTTCTGTAAGACATTAATTTTTACCCTGTGGTATATTATCCTTGATTTCCTCTCATTATGCTTGTCTTGGCTCTTCACCTGTAACGTTGTACGAACAAACTCATCACTCTTTGACCCTCTATGGTCATTCCTATTTCCTAAACTGATTCTAGCTTACTGAGGCCTTGCCCTGTACCAAAAGCGTTCTCGGCACTGAGAAATAAAGATAAGCAAGATCCAAGTTTTTTTGTGGGAGTAAAATGTAAGTTTTAAGATGAAGACTCACCTTATACCACTTATGTTTAATTTTATGGTAGAGTTTAGACTTGTCCTAATGAATGGTGATAAGACAGATTCCTGGAGTAACTGTCCCTGCAATATTCTGGAATATCTTTCTAAATACATAATGCAAAATCATGTTCTATCACATTGCCATTAGCAATACTACCACATCTCAGAATTTAGTTATTAACAGAGAGAAGGAGAATGAGCTCTGTGATCCTAATACACAGTTTTTGCATTGACTTGTTTTGATTGAGGATAACTAGAGAGAGATAACTGATTTCTTTATAAGCCTGACTCACCTGTTCCATTAGCAATCTCATTTTCTGAGCAAGGTGTACAATAAAAGCAACAGGCAGCCTTTCCCTCCTGAGGAGATTTCCGGAATCCAGGACCACAACTCTCACTGCAGACAGAGTGAGGAGTCTGAGGAAAGGCAGGGTGTGTCAATAACTGTTTCAACATGTACCAAACACGACAACAATCCAGTTTTACAATGGGATGCTTAAGTATAATGTTTTAAACAGGTAAGTGCATTTGGTTTATTGTATTCTGTTATAGATTCCATATTCCATGATTCCCAAAGGCTAAGTGATTCAATCTTGATTTCTAGCCTGTAAGGCATGGATGGGTTTTTTAAAAAGTGGAAAGTAGTGGTGAGAAAGTAATTTCTAGTTTCCAGCCTATGGTATTTCCTTGAATTCCTGGCACAATATGCTTTCTCCTACTCATCTGTGACATTAGAAAGAGCAAGGAGGAGACCTCCATTTTATAGGGTTATGTGAGCCCCGACGTGATAATAGTTTTTTCTTTGTTTTCAAGCGTTCATGAGGTGAAATCTTCTTACAGGTGCATTTAATGATTCCTCTAAACAAAGATAGTTAAGTTGCAGGTCGATTAACCAATGAAAGAATCTCCACAGAAGGGAGCAAAAGAAACTTTCAACCCCATAAATTAACTCTTCAGCTACTTTATTGCAGTGTTAGAATCTCACTGAGAAAAATATATTTTACATCTTATGAAAATATTCCAAATCAATATGTAGAAACACTTTTAACTCACTTGGTTCTGATCCTGGGGCTTGAAATCAAGTCCTGAGCATTGGACTTCAGCTATTTTGTCTCAAGTGTAGCACTCTAGTACACAGCTCTACCTCCATATTTTTGGAGGTTTATTGGCAATAGGCATCTCACAAAGTTTCCTGTGTGAGCTGACTTTAAACTATGACATTCCCATCTGAGCTATAATCAACTCTAGGTTTATAGGATAACCTAGCTGGAACTCAACCAGGTACAAACTTAAAAGGGTGACTTTTGCCAATTTATGTGTGTGGAAAATTATTAGGATCAGATCCAACTCACCTCTGTAGTTTCAATGGACCACTGTACCATATCTTCAGATAAAGAAAGTTGATTGCCATGTGGAGCATATGGAGAAAACTTTCCTACTTTCACCTCAAGTTCAAGACCCTCTGGAAAATTCCAAACATTCATAATGTCATACTCTGGCTCCAATTTCCTTTGATTGTCCCAAATTACTTGATATCCAATAGAATTGTAAAACTGGTTATTCTTCAGAAAAGTGTGCAGCTAAAAGTAGACACATCTTATGGTCAAGTGTATTCCAGAGGTAAGACAGAAAGCAAAATATTCAAAGTTCCTGATTGCCTTTAATCTCTGATTCTGAATTTGAGAATAGTAGAGATAACTAGTGAAGTATCACAGAAGAAAATGTATGGAGGAATCAAAATAATCTTTGTGAAAAAATAATCTATCCTGATCACTCAGAAAAAGAGGAAGATTTTCAGAAAAATTCACTCCACTCTTTTGTGAATTTCTATGGTTTGTGCTTGCTAAATATTTACTACTTAAAGTTGAATGAAACTCAGTCACTTATGAAAAACATGAAGAATTGGTTTCGGCAAGTCATCCTTTGCTATGACTGAAGAAACTCATAGGGAAAAGCTGAATTCACAGATTTTAAAACATGAGCTATGAACATGTTGATATTATTCGTAACTAATGGGTTCATAAACAGGGTGCTGGTGGTTCAAGGATGTAATATCAGCTAATCAGGAGGCTCACATCAGAAGATCATGCTTCCAAGCAGGCTGGGGCAGAAAGGGCAGTGAGAATTTTTTATCCAATAAACTTTTCAAAAAATGTCAGAAGTTTTGCTATGCTGAAGTGGTTGTGTGCTAACCTTAAACACAGACTCAGGGATCTACCCAGCAACTGTGTTCAAGCCCCTTGCATTGGTCAAAATTAATTTTTAGAAAGATGGAATATATTTTATCCTTGTTACTGGACTGTTGTTTTCTTCAGAGCATATCCCCACATGTCTAGAATACATCAACGAAATTGAAACATAAAGAATTCATAGGGTTTGGAAAAGCAACTGAAATATTTAATGTTGTAAATGTGACTATACATTTGTTCAATTTTGTACTTCCAATAGTTTCTGACAATAGAAAGGAAAATGCTTAAGAGTTGAAACAATTACTTCAAATACTGAAATATATACCCATTAATATCAGCAAGCCAGATATGTATGACATAGGGATATATATATATATATATATATTTGGTGTGTATATATATGTTTGTATATATACACATGCCATATATATAAACAAAAACCCACATGTACACATACAGAACTACTTAATTTCATACAGTAAGAAACTCCTCTAGCAAGTGCCTTTGCTCATGGTTTGTGTACTCCAACAGAGAAGAACTTACCTGAGTAGAGGAAGGCAATTCTCCTTTTCTATTTCCCGTTGTTTGAACTTCTGTTTGATGAAGAAGCATCTCATGGAGAGCCTGAGCCACAGCATACACACCATTGTATATATTGTAACTATCTACAGACATAGTCACGTCAAAACTCTGCCCAGGTAACCAATCCAAAGAGGCATCATGAGCACAGTTGTCCCATGTTACACAGTCAGACACAGAATCAGAGCAATTAAAAGAGAGAAACCACAGCCTCGCAAGAAAAATGTCTTCTGGGTATTTGGAAGGCTTAGCTGCCTTGACAAAATCTGTGAATCCAGAAAAATCTACATGATGGTGTGTAAAAATAAGAGGTACATGCAATGATCCTATCACGAAATATCTCCTTTTCAGGGTGAAATCCCACTGAGAGTTCATGATACAAACTTTCCCATGTGTAATAATTTGCTCAATATATATCATAAAAATCATCAGTGAATTATTATCACCGTATATGATGAGGACACTTGCTGAAGATAGATTAATATAACGATTAACTGTTATGTGGTTATATGCATCTTGGGTGGCGATCACTAGCTCATAGGCTACACAAACTCTGTTCTTGGCCATCTCTACTTTCAATTCAGCAAGAATCTTTGCCCCATTATCATCTTGTGTGGTCAATAGTCCCACCCAGCTCCAGCTGAAGTGAAGCAGTAAGGAGACCATAGCAGTGGCTATTGATGTGTCCTTTGGTGCCATCTGATAGAGAGCAGGAAACTTGTTATGGTCACTCAGGCCATGATCAAAAGGCCCAAAGGTAAACTAAAGGGAATGAAAATTGCATGTTCTGTGAACGAGAATATTGCCATGAATCACTATCTCAGTCTCAGCCTTTATTTTTTATTTTTTGCAATTGAGAGAAATTTTCTTTATTTAATTTTTATTGTGAAAATTCTGTACAGAGGGGTAAAAATTACATGGGCAAGATAATGAGTACATTTCTTATCTTCCTCTTTTGTTGTATCCTCCTCTTTGGTTTCCCCTTCCCATCTTTTCCCATCCCTCCCCTGCCCCGCCACCCAATCCTCCTCCCCCCCAAAGTCTCTTCCCATCCCTCCCCTGCCCCGCCACCCAATCCTCCTCCCCCCACCAAAGTTTTAAAATTGGTTTTTCCACATAATGACTTGTTGATCCCATTGTTGCAATGGATCCACCTGTATCCCTAGCTAAACGATTTGTTTTTTCCCTTCCCCTCCACAAATTATACCAACCTCAAATACAGTGAAAGCAGGAGTTATACCATGTGGGAGGGACATACAAAGTAACAAATAAATAATCTTATAAATGTGTTAGAAACAATCACCTAAAAAAACAGTTGAATACATATCTTAGGGATCATTTCCCTAACATTAACTTATCTGAACTTTTCAGCTTGACTCAAACATGTACTAGTTATAGACCCAAAGGAACTTACATCCCCTTGTTTCTCTTATTTACAATCTCACTCTTGAACTCTGTTAAGAACTAGTTGAAGTATTTGAAACGTAGGATTGTTTTTTAGTTTTAGAAAAAATAATTTGTTTTTGAATAGCTGTGTATTTGTAAAGTATTTTTTAGTTTTTGTCACTGTTTCCCATCAACACTTCCTATTTGTAACCCCACACACTCCCCAACTTTCCTAATTCCATTTTGACCCATGCCCATTGAATATTATGTTGTATTCCTCCACCCAACCTTTTCCTATTCTTCTGTATTTTTCCCTTAAAACCTATCCCACTCAGACAAGATATGCTTCACCTTTTTTTGGTGTTCATTTTTCACACTGTCAGTAGATTAGAAAAGTTACACTATGGAGTTTCACCTCTCTATATATCCTATGTTAGTCAGATTAATAAAGTGTATGTATATATACATATATACACATTATACATACATATATACGTATATGTGTGTGCAATGGCTATTTGACTGTTCCATATTTATTTCATGTAATATATTCATATTTTAGATGTAACTCTCACATTTGTGAGGATATGGCTACACTTTCTTATTCTGATCCTGATTTATTTTGTTCAAAATATTATTTTCTGTGTGTGTGTGTGTGTGTGTGTGTGTGTGTGTGTGTTTACACATCAATGCCAGTACAGGGGCCCACACTCATACACTCTTGCACTTCTTTGGGCATTTTCCTTAAGACTTATTCTATACCAATGGAGGCACACATTCATCTTATGCTCCGTGTAGGTTAATTGGAGATACAAGTTTTCTGATTAGCTAGGATTACTTTTGTGTGCCATCAACAACCTGCTCAACATATCTTCACACTGCAAAGTCATCTTGCATTTCCTGATTTATAAAAGAAAATTATTCATAGAGATTGAAACAATAAATTATCCAATTATTTGCTCAAATCTTTCACCTCTTTTTTCAAAATGATTAAAATTATATTTCTGACTACCGTTAAGTAATTACACTTTGATATCACAAAATCTGATTTATTTGTGAATCCAGTCTCTTCCTATCATTTTCTTCTAACATCTGAAATGGCATGAATTTAGACATTTTTCTATACTTGCACACCTTTCACTCTCACCTGTGGAAATCTGTAGAGTCCAAGCAATGTCCCAATCTGGTCAGATACTACTCCTGATGGTCCTGTAAGTACTGCTATAGAACTGCTTCCTCTCACGCAGGAATAGTTTGGAATTTTATACTTCCCAAAGAGACAAATAAAGGGATTCTTAAACATTGTCCAAGAATTGAAGTGAACATCATAGACATTAAATCCCAGAGTCAGGTTATGTAAAAGATCAGGGTTTTTGTTGATCTCCTCTATAGCAAAAGCCAAGGCCAAAACATACTGATAGTTCTTGAAGATCAACCTGCATAATGACCAAAGAAAATTTGAAGAAGTATGTCATGTTTAAAACTTAAATATATCAAATGCTTGCTTCTTTGTCAAAGAAAAAGTTAAAATAATACCCCGATTAGAATGGAATGTAAATGTAGTCTCCTATACTTACATATAGAATTCAGATACTTATTTAAGTTGAGGGAGAGCTTGTTTTCCTCATTACCACATGTACCACAGCAAAAGGCTGCTGTGTGTTGGATTAAGTTTTCATGAGGCAGCAAATGTTGTGTTTCTTTACATTAGTGCAACTAGTTAACCTGTATGGAAAATATTTCTCGTGTTTTCAGTCACCCAGTTTATGTTTTGTGTTTATAGGGTAGGTCCGGCTAACTACGGAATGTTTAATTTAAGAGCAGTATTCAGAAGCAAAGGGTTATTTACGAATGATACTATAGCAAGGTATGTTTACAGACACAACATATGGAATAGTTCTTACTGATAACAACCAGGAAAAGAGCAGACCTATAAGATTTCCAGTTCCAAGACCTCCAGGATAAAATGCTGATCACTATTCTCTTCCCAATATATTTAAATAGAGACTCTCAAAAGGAACCAAAGTAGCAAAATAAAGAGGAACAAAGTACTATTCATTCTTTCTTTCTCCAAGTCCTGTCTGTGTGCACCAAAGTATGTGTGAATCTGTGTTTTTTTGTGACTATATGCATGCTTGCAAGCGGGAATATTATAAAGAAATTAATATAATGAAATCAACTGGTATTGTTTAAATGGAAACAATGAAGGCATGTTGGTAATGGAATGAAAGGACCAACTTGTTCATTATATGCTGTAGGTATATGTGAAGTGATCATGAAAGCCTATCATATTCTGAAATGTTACAAACAGAAGAAAATAGCTTGAGAAAAATCTAATTGCACATACACATATGGAGGAATAAAATGCAGAAATGAAGATGTGTTATAAAGCTTTTTCAAAAGTTGAAGAGAGTATTTTCCACAAAGCAAAAACAAATGTAGAGATACCTACAAAGTAAAAGGCTTAAAGGTGAAAGCATAATCAATATTTTTATTAATCTTGGGGCTGAAATCTGGGCCTGGGAGCTATCTCTCAGCTCAAGCTAGCACTCTATCACTTGAGACACAGCACCACTTCTAGGTTGTTCTGCTTGTGTGATGCTGAGGAATTGAACCCAGGGCCTCATGCATGTGAAGCAAGCACGCTACCAATAAGCCAACTTCCCAGCCAAGGATAATAAAATTATTGAACATAACATCTACAGTAGCCTGTCTAAGCATGAAGCACTCACAAGTTAACTACATATACAGGATGATTTTCTAAATTAGAATAGAAATGGGACCCATATGCTATATGTGTGCACCCATTTTCATAACAGCTAACTCCTCAGCAGAGTCCATATAAGTCAAGAGAGCATGGCAAGAGATCTTTACAATACTGAAGATTAAAAAAAACTAAATTATCCACCAAGATTATAGCACCTAGCAAAATTACCCTGTAGAAACGAAGGAAGGATAAAGATGTTCTCAGAGAAGCACAGTTAAGAGAATTTATCTACACTAAACTCTTCCTACAAGAAATACTAAAGTAATTTTTTCAGACCACAAAACAGAACCATTAAGGAACAAGAAAAATATTCGTGAATTTGTATAACTTCTTTCCTGTCACCACAATCAAAGCTGAGTACAACCAAATTAGTCACAGAAAATAAACTCATGGAAACAAAGCAATTCATTGATGAGACTTCAGCAGTTTTTTGAAGAGAGAGATAAAAATCGAAATTTAATTGTTTCTGGGATTCAGTGTGAAAGAACAACTAAAATATCAACTCCTTTGGAACACAGCCAAGGTAGATCTCTGAAGACGATTCAAGTCTTTCATCAACAAATTAGAAAAATCTCAAATCAACACCTCAATGATGCACATCAATGCAGACATGACACTTCTAAGAAGATGGTCGCATTATCACAAGCAAACTCCTTAGATGCATCTGAGAAAAACAGCTATTTAGATTCCCTGCATCCATTTTACCTCAAGAGAGCCAAAAAAATCAAACATTAAAGAGATGGGGACTCATTCAAATGCATAAGAAATCTCACAACATTAACACAGAGCTGAATACAACAAGACAACATGCAGACCACTGCTGAGTGGCTGCACCTTTGCCCCTAGCCTTCTCAGGCAGCCCAGGGAGACCCAGACATGAAGTGCCACCGATCAAATCTTAAACAGAGAAACATGTGATACTGACAAAATCACACAGCAAACATTAATCCTAGAAACACAAAGATAGAAACAAGGGCAGATATGCAAATCAGCTTGCAGACCTTTAAGGAGTGGCTGCTGCTACTGCCACACAACACAAAGGAGCAGAAAGACACCATAGAACAAGGATAAGGGAAAATAGAAAGAGGAGATTGATAATGCCACAACCAGACACAGGAGCCCCTCAATAAGACTTCTGCTGCCCACCTCAAAACTGTTTGAGCTCAGAATCTGTTTGTGCCTCCTCAGGGACTGCTGCCTTGGAGGAAGAGTTCCAGGTGGTTACCTACATTGCCCATAAAAATGAATGCAACTGAAATGGCAACAAAGCCTCCAATTCAGGAAAAGCCCAGGACCAGATGCATTCATAGAGGAGTCTTTAAGTCTTCGAATAGGAACTCACTCCCATGCTCCTCAAACTCTTCAGTGAAACAGAAAGGGAAAGTTCACTACCAAAATTTTTCTATGAAACCAACATAACACTAATACCCAAACCAGATAGGAACCCATCAATAAAAGAGAACTATAGACCCTTTTCTCCAATAGACTTTGATGTAAAATGTCTCAACAAAATTCGGGCCAAACAAATTCAATAAGTAATGAAATATACCATACCTTATGTTCAAATTGAATTCATTCCAAGATTGCTAACCTGGTTCCATATGCACAAGTCAGTTGATGTAATTTAACACAGCAACAGAAGTAAAGATGAGAAGCACATGATTTTTTCAATATATTCAGAAAAATGATTTGACAAGATTCAACACCACTTCCTGATAAAAATGTCTAGAGAAGCTATGAATCCATGGAAAGTTCCTCAACATAATAAAGGTTATCTGTGACAAACCTAGAGCTATCATTATACTTCATAGAAAAATTTAAAGCCATTCCCTCTAAATGCAGAACAACACAAGGATGACTTCTGTCTGCATTCCTATTGAACATACTGCTGGGATACCTAGGAAGGGAAATAAGGCAAGAGAAACACATAAATGGGATCCAGATAGGGAAGATGAAGTAAAGGTATCTCTCTTGGTGAGCAATAAAATTCTGTACTTAAAGAATCATATAGAATGCCTCACCCCAATCTACTTGAGTTGATTCAAACTGTGGCAAAGGAACAAGCTATGAAATATAACAACAAAAATGCATAGCATTCATCTGTTCCAACAATGAAAAGAATAATACTGAAATCAAGAAAGAAACACAATTTTAATAGCCTCACAAAATATTTAGGAATTAACCAAAGATGGCAAGGATCTATATTGTGAATTTAAAAAAAAAAATCTTATAAAGACATTGAAGCTGACTTAAGGAAATGGAAAAACATTCCATGCTCCTGGTTTGTAAGAATTAACATCATAAAAATGGCAATTCTGCCCAGAGCAATATACAAATTCACTGCAATACCAAAAAAAAATCTGTAACTTTCTTCAAAGAATTAGAGAAATCAATCGAAATACTTGTATGAAATAATAAAGATCGTGAATAGCAATAAAGACATCTTTAGCAGGAGGAATAGAGCTGGAGGAATATCAATACAAAAGTTGAAGCATTATTACAAAGCCATAGTAATAAAAGCATCTTGGTACTGGCAAAACAATAGGCCTGAAACCCAATGAAACAGAACAGAAGATGCAGAAACAATCCCACAAACATATAGGCACTTAATATTTGATAAGAGAGCCAAAAACACAGCTTTTAAGAAAGATAGCCTCTTACAGAAACAGTGCTGTCAAAACTGGCCATCTACATGCAAAAAAAACAGAGGCTTTATACTCATATATCATATTGTAGCAGAATCAACTTTAAATGGACCACATAGCTTAATGTGAGGACAGATACTGTGAAAATATTACAGGAATTACTAGGGAAACACCTAAGTCTTCTAGCCACAGAGTAAAACAACCTAAACAAAGATACATAATCACAGCAAATCAAAGAAAGCCTGGATAAATGGGACTGTATTGAACTGAATAGATTCTGAGTAGCAAGGGACAAAGCTAGGAAGATATATGAACAGAGCACAGAATGGTAGAAAATCTTGACTGGCTATACATTAGATAAAGAGGTCATATCTAACATATACTTAGAGCTAAAATTTAGCAAGACAGAAGGAAACTCCCAAACTCAATAACCCAAGAGAGACTTAAGAGAGACTGCTCAGAGGAAGAAAATCATGGTGAATAGATACATGAAGGAGTGTGTCCAACACCTCAGAAAACATTACATTTGTCTTTCATTTGTTTCTGCTGTGGAGTCAAAGTCTAAGACTTGAATACTTGGAATAACTGTGCAGGGTATATGTATATATAAAGTGTACATTCATTATTAATGTCAAAAAATTAATATGTAATCCAAAATTAAGAAAAAGAGATTTTCAAGCCCCATGACCAATAAAAAAATAAAAGAAAAAGAGGGAGTGGGGTTGGAGGTATGGGTGCGAATTTTAAACAGGGTGACATGGTTCAAAGGACACTATATTCATAAACGGATCTGGTGAATGGCAACATTTAGTACTACCATCAAAAGAAAATAAAATTTTAGAAATGTATAAAACTTACTGCTGAGAGTGATTATACAAGTGAGTTTAATAGGTTCTAACAATGTAACTGTGGTAGACAAATATTACACATAATGCTTATGAAGAGAAAATATTAGTAACATATCTAGTAATTTCCATAGAACAATTTAAAATTAAATATTTAAGTTACAAATGATGAGAGGAATACAACGTAGTTGCCATTTTCATTTGTATAACTTTAATATATTTTCTTTAAATATGTTTTATATTTTTCATTTTTAAGATAATGTATAGAGGTGTTATAGTTACATGAATAAGGTAAAGATTATATTTCCTACTGAGCATTAAAATATTTTTTATTTTAATTTTATTGCAAGGAGATATACAGAGTGGGTACAGTTTCATAAGTAAGGCAGTGAGTATATATCTTGTCTAACTTGTTACCCCTTGTCATCTTAAAATATTAAGTGAAAAAGTTTCATTAAAAGTTAAATGAAAAGATTTCATTATAACATGTCTCTCATTCACTTATGAATTTGGTCATAGTCCTGTACTACCTGTGTATGCATATTTTCTTTTCTTTTCTCCTTAACATCAGAGGTAGTTGTCATCATTCCAAAACAGATTGTTTTAATCTATTTTAAGTTTCACAAGTAACACAAAATCTGTAGCAGACAAATAAATCTCAAAATCCAAAAGTCCAAAAGTAAGTATTATTGAACTAAAAAAACAATGACATCTGTGAGAAAGGAAGCATAGAAGAAGATTCATGAAGCCTGGAGAAGAAGTTACATAATGAAAACAGTGTGACATGATCTGTCAATGACTGGGAATGGAAAGTCAGTAAATTCTACCAGTAAGAGTTAGAATGGCTGAATGAATAAAATCTCCAGTCCAAACAAAAGGTTGATTCCAAGAAATTCAATTCACTTTCAATGAATGGCCTTCAGTGAGAGTAAGAAAATAATGTAAACCAGACCCAGAGAAACAGAAGTTTCATGGTTTCTCTGAGTGTAGTAACTAGAATGTACTTATATATCTACAAGTAAATGAAAAACGGTAAAAAAAAAAAAAAGCGAGAGATAACAACAACAAAAACTTTGCATGTCATAAATTATACAGGTCTCTAGGCATTCCCCACAGTGAGAACAAGGAGAACGTACTTAAAGAGAAACACAAAGATGTAATACATATGTGTATGTGATTATAAAAAATAATATTTTTCATAAAAGAACTCCAGGAAATGGGAACAAAAGAGTTTTTTTTCTTTATCAATGTTTTTGTGGGCATGGGGTCACAGAAATGGTGGAACAAAGGGTAAACAAATACAGCAGTGCTACTCACTAGACACTATGTTGAAAATAAGCTATAGAACTGGAAAGTGAGGATGGGAGAGAAACATAGCGAGAGAAAGGGTGACATTGTTTGAAAAGAAATGTTCTCTTCATTTTACTTATATTACTGTAACCTCTCTTTACATCATCTTTATAATAGCAATAAACAATACATCAAAGAGAAAAAGGAGTGGAAGAAGGTAGTCCATGCAAATGAAAAGGAAAATTAGGCAGAATTATCCTTATCATATCACATCAAACAGATTTTAATCAAAACAACCAAATGTGCCAAGTTTGTAATGCGATGATGAAGCAATAAAAACAACCAGACAACATATCAATTATAAAAGTATGCTAACTCATGATCAAAGCACTTAACTCTATAAAAGCAGGCTTTGAGCTAATCCTCCATACAATAATAGCTGAAGATTTCCTAGAGAGACATTTAGACCAAGTAAACAGGAAGGTATCAAAATTAAATTTCACCCTTGATTAGATGAGCCTCACATCCACCTACAGAAGGTTTCACCCAATGTCTGAATAATCCATCTCTCATCAACATATTGAGCATTCTCCAGAAGAGATGGGATACAACACAAAACAGCCAGATTTTAAAAGTATGAAAAGTAAATTGAACTCACCTATGAACCACACTGTGGTAAGGCTAGAAATTAACAAGGAAAACACTGAAAGAAAATATCCCCATAACATCTAAATGAAATGCCTTGTTTCTCAGTCAGAAACAAAGAATTTAATTTAATTAAGACCATTCAATGTAATTAAATGATTAACACATATTAAAGGATTTGTTTTTCAAAGCATATATTTCAAGAAGTTTTGTGAACTTTGGAACAATATCAGAATCTATCTATCTCTATCTATCTATCTATCTATCTATATATCTATCTATATATATATATATATAAAGAGCAATGAAATGAAATTGTAACAACCTTTATTGAAATTAGGAATAGAGATGCTGTATTAGAGAACCTATGCGGCATCTCAAGGAGCTAGAAAAATAAAACCAAAATTAGTAGAAGGAATGAAATAATGAAAATGAAAAAGAACTATAGACTAAAAAAATAAATAAGAGACTAGAAACAATCAATAAAGCCAAAAGGAGGTACTACAAGAACAATAAGGTGATAAAACTGAAGTAAAGCAACAAAATTCCATATATCAACCTACACTTCCAATTGTTCTGGATGCTGGAATCAGTATAGTGAACGTACCTGTATTAGTGCAAAACCATGTACAGAAGATTCAGTACAATCTATATCAAAATTTCTAAGGAAGAACAAATGTAACACTGATGTACACATGACAATGTTGGAACTGATCTGTATAGCTTGGTGGGGGATTGGGGGAAAGGGAAAAATAGGAGAAAATTGAGGAAAGGTGTAACAAAGGTGACAATATTAGCAACTTATTACAAGTACTTAAATATGTTCTGGAAAATTAAAAGAATGAAACAGCAAAACATGGGGAAGTAGTGTGGAATATAAAGAATAAGTAAAGCCAGACAGTAGTGCTTCACACCTTCATTCTCAACTACTCATAAGGCTGAGACCTGAGGATCATGTTTTCAAGGCAGCCTGGGCATAGATATCTGTGAGTCTGTTATCTCCATTTAACTATGAAAAGATGCCAGAAGTGAAGCTGTGCCTCAAATGCTAGAGCACTAGCCTTCAACAAAAATGTTCAGGAACAGCCCACAGTCCCTGAATCCCCAGTATCAGCACGAAAGTAAGAAAGATAAACATATCAGTGACATATAAAATGAATCCATGTATTTTCTATAGCACAGAAGAGAGTAATTACTATCCTGAAAACTCTGCTCTCAATTTTGTGCAGCTGCCTCTGGCTCTAGTTTTCATACCAGCACTTAAAAACCAGTAACGATGATAAAGATAATTATATATTTTTTGCAATAAGAATCAGATAGTTTGAGAGAGTTCCTTAAAGTTCTGTGCAATCATTTTTCTTTTCTTGTCTCTTTTATTATACCACTTATTAGTGAGACTCTAAGTTATAGAAAAAAACTTAAAGAACTTGAATGTGCACACATGGAAAGAATTAATATTGGGAATATAAAATTTTTGCACAAGAAATCTTTCATAATGCTGAGCTGTCTGGTAATGCTGTATAGTAGAGGATATCTGACATGAAACAGGACCAAAATACATAGTTTGGAACAGTAATTGCTTGTGTATGCAAAGAATGTGTGACTGTATAAGTGTGTGTGCACACGAGGATGTGTGTTTGTGCCTGTTCTAGGGCATGAAATCAGTGCCTGGCCTCTTCATTTTCCACAGTGACAGGTGAAATGGAGGAAATACAGGTGTGCTGGAGAAAAGAAAAGAGCTTATGGATATGGAAAGGAGAAACTACTTGGAAGGAAATGGAGTCCTTTCTTGAGAGCATGCAGATAATCAGTGTATAAGAGATGTAAAGCAAAATAATGAAACTGAGCTGCTCCTGGAGCAATAAGGAAGGAGGTCAGTAGAGGGGACACAGAGATCATTGATGTGCACACCCGGACTTCCCTCACCCATGGAATGTGCTCAGAATAAAATAGTAATAGGGATAAAATCTGAAATTACTTACAACTTGTTGTCTTCTTGCCTAGAAGCATGGCTGTTCCTGTGATCGATTCCCAAAGTGCACAGGGGCATAATCCCAGTTATCATCACATCTCCATCCATGTGTGCTCGCTGCTTCATTGTAGAAAAGCAGGTAGTGTCAGCCAAGGACCTGACAGGGAGGGGAAGATGGAGAAAGAGAATTATTAAAGTGAAAATATACATCCCTGAAGCATCTGCCAAGCAGAAATTCTGGCTGGATTGGAGGATCACAATTTCACAGATATTCTTATATCTTTCTATATGTGCATATGTGTCTTTGTTGACAGAGATCTACACTATAGCTTACCTCTAATTAAAGTCTCTCTGAGTCTTCAGAAGTAATGTGTAAGACTATTCCCAGGGGCTATGCATTAGTAGCCCTGCATCAAGGAGAAAAACACAAGTTAGAAACATGTTTTCAGATTTGCCTTCTTCAGTTCAGGTGCTGTGATTTCATCCAAACCACAGATAGTGAGACCCCAGAGATGGAGTTATCTTAGTTTAATTTGTACAAAGTCTGTGTCAAGAAAGTATTTGCATGAAAGTCATTTGGGATGATGTAACTGGGTTGCATGAGATGATGCCATAACATGTGAATGGTGAAATGGCCAGAAAAAGTGTATGTCTCTGAGTTGTCAACGGAATTATGAGGGCATTATAGTTAAGAGTGTCAATTCAAATGACCAAATCCAAGCAAATATCCTCTCTTTTGAAATCTCATAGTTTCAACACAATAAAAATGCCAGGAGTGTCCAGGGGAAGATGGTAGAGGAGAAGCTGGGGGCTAATCAAGCTGTCATATAGAAAGCAATTTTAAGTAATATAATTCATCATATCAACAAGAGCAAGGACTAGAACTACCTGACTATATCAAAAGTTGCAGAAAAACCATCTGACAAAATCCAACACAATTTTATGTTGAAAGCTCTTGAAAAACTAGGAATCCATGGAACATTCCTTAATATAAAAAAGCTGCATATTACAAACCTACAGCCAACATTATAATTAATGGTAAAAAATAACAAGTCATTTCCTCTAAACTCAGGAATAAGTTAATGATGTCCACTCTCTCCACTTCTCTTCAATTTATTATTAGAATTCCCAGGTCAGCAATAAGAAGATGTAAACTTAAAGAGGATCGAAATAGTGAAAGATGAAATAAAAGTCTCCCTCTTTACAGATGACATGATCTTGTATTTAAAGAATCCTACGGACTCCATTCACAAATTACTCAAGCTGATTCAAAACTTTGGCAAAGTAGCAGAGTATAAAATTAACCCTCAAATATCAGTGGCTTTTCTGTATGCCAACAACAAGAAGAGTTCAGCTAAAATCAGGAATGCAATTCGTTCTTTTGTAGCTATAGAAGTGAAGGATCTCTACGATGAAAATTTTAAAAACATGGAAAAAGAAATCAAAGCAGAACTTCAGAAAATGGAAAATCCTCCCATGATCCTAGATTGGAAGGATCAACATCATAACAATGGCAATATTTCCAAAGGCTATCTACACATTCAATGTGATACCTATCAATATCCCAACCTCATTCTTCAAGGACATAGAAGAAGCAATCCAAAATTGCTTATGCAACAATAAAAGACCCCGAATAGCAAAAATGATCCTTAACAGAAAGAATAGTGCTGGAGGAAGATCCATACCAAATTTGAAACTCTACCACAAAGCCATAGTATTCAAAACAGCTTAGTACTGGCACAAGAACGGAACTGGGGACCAATAGAATAGAACTGAAGACCCAGAAATGAACCCACAGACCTATAGCCACCTAATCTTCAACAAAGTAGCCATAAAAATTAGAATGGAAGACAGACAGCCACTTCAGTAAATGGTGCTAACAAAATTGGGTAATCACCTGTAGAAAACTAAATCTAGATCCTTAAATATCACCCTACACCAGCGTCAACTCCAAATGGATCAGACACCCAGAAAACCTTACAGGAAGGAACAGGAGAAACTTGGCACAGGCCCAAATTTTCTTAATAGATACACAGAAACACAAGAAATCAAAGAAATTTTGGACAAATGAGATTGAATGAAGCTGCAGAGCTTCTGCATGGCAAAGAACATAGCTAGCAAGATGAATAGAAAGCACACGGATTGGGATATCTTCACTAGGTAAGGGACAAGGGTCCCCTATCTATACTATGACCCATTGCAACAATGAGATGTAGAAGATGCTATGTCGAAAATAAACTTTACAGTTTAGGCCGAAGGAGGGGAGGGAATGTAGTTGTGGAGATGGGAGGGAAGGGAGGGTAGGGGAAATACTAACGAAGAGGCAAGAATGATTGATAAGACATGTAATCATTACCGTGCTCGTGTGATTGTAAACCCTCTGTACAGTATTTTCACAAGAAAAAACTTCTTTAAAAATATAAAATAAAATATACTTAGAATTAAAATCATTAAATCCCTAACAACAAATCCACGAAGAAACAACTGCCCGGTAAATAAGTGGGCTAAAGACTTAAAGAGAAACTTCTCTTAAGAGGAAATAAGAATGGCCAATAGACACATGAAGACATGCTCAACCTCTCTACTCATAAAAGAAATACAAACCAAAACAATATTGAGATTCCACCTCACCCCAGTTAGAAAGGCTATAATCAAGCAATCTAATAACAACAGATGCTAGAGGGGATGTAGCCAAAAGGGAACTCTAGTGCATTGTTGGTGGTAGTGCAAACTTTTTCAAACACTTTGGAAAGCAATATGGAGGTTCCTCAAAAGATTCCCATAGAGCTCCTCTATGATGCTTCAATCCTACATTTGGCCATTTACCCAAATGATCACAAACAAGGCCATACCAAGGCTCTCAGGACAACTATGTTTATTTTATCAGAGCATTATTTACTAAGATATGAAACTAATGCAAATGTCCCTCAATAGATTAATCGATAAAGAAAATATGATATATATGTATATATATATGCATATATATGTATCTATATATAAAGACACATATATAGATATGCATCTATATAGATGCATATATGTATCTATATATATATACAGATATACATATAGATATATAGGTATAAAGTGGAATTCCATGCCTCTATCAGAAAGAATGACATCGCCCCATTTATTGGGAAATAGAAAGACTTGAAAAAATTATATTTTGAAGTAAGCCAGGCACAAAGAGACATAGGTCTTCACACTCACAAGATTCCTGTATTAATCTATAGTTTCTCTCCTCTCGCTCCCGATCAGGCTCACACTGAGTCCTTTTCATGTTTTCATTCTTTTCATTCACCATGTTGACCAGTAGTATTTGTAGAGCTTTTTGGGATCTCTCCTCTGGATTATTCATTAACTGTTCTGTCACCTGATTATCCTGAGTGGGAGTTGACATACTAATCTCAAAGAGGAAAATAGTTTTGACAGAATGATAGGAGAGGAATAGGAAAAAAAAAACAAAGTATGGAAAACAAAAATTTAAATTTAAAAAGTAAAAAACACTAAAAATTATGTAAGTTTAAAGAAATGATATTGAGAAAAGAAAAGGATAGGTTGAAAGGAGAGGAGGGATAGAAAGGAAATATGAAACACTAAAAAATAAAAATTCTTAAAATTGGAATACTTGAAAATTATATAGGTATGAAGAGATAATACTGCTTTTAAAGAAGTTAAGTCTAAGCAGATGTGAATTGAGTAATAAATTTCTGGAATCAGTATGTACACAATGGGGCATAAGGTCTAATAATCGATGACAGGTATATACCTGGGGATGAGCAGAACAGCAATTAAGTCATGCAAAAAAGAAAGAAAGAGAGGAAAAAAGGAAACAAAAATAATTACCAAAAGGTTAAAAGTGGTTTTCAAAAAAGCACAGAAACACACACACACACACACACACACACACACACACACACACACACACCCCTAAAATAATTTCTTTTTTTTTTTTTGTTCAGTCATGGGGCCTGAACTCTGAGCCTGGGCAGTGTCTCTCAGCTTTTCAGCTCAAGGCTATCACTCTACCACTTGAGCTACAGCTCCACTTCTGACTTTTTTTTTTCTTTTTGCTTATGTGGTGCTAAGGAATTGAATCCAGGGCCTCATGCATGCAAGGCAAGTACTCTAAAACTAAGCCACCTTCCCAGCCTACCTGAAATAAAAATTATGAGAGAAAAAATAATAGAAAAAAAATTTAAATCAAAATAAAAAAGGTAGAAAAAAGAATTCTTCGATTTTTTTGGGGGGTGGGGGTGGGGATCGGGCAGGAAAGATTGGTTTTTCCCCTGTGTCCATAACCAGTCTCTTGGTGGAGTTTCTGGTCTGCTTGTGTTTAACCTTCCTGTGGCTTGATTGGTTTCTTAAGTCAGTTTGTTTGAGCAGGCAGAAAAGTACTCTGTGATACCCAGAATTTTGAGATCCTCCTCCCAGGCTAGTGGAGTGGAAGGGAGATCTGCTTTGAGTATCACAAAAGAGGGAGATGGCTCTTTCCCTGATTTGGAGGTGCTGTGATGAGGTTAGGTTCTGGGAAGAGTTGAGGCCTTTCAGCAAACAGTAGCTTTTCTGAGGGCCTGAATTCTGAGACACTCACAGAGCCCAGCCTGCAGTCACTCTCAGGGTTTATGTTTACTGAGTTTCAATTGATTGTCCAGGCTACTATAGGGAGAGGCAGCCTCTGGCTCAGTTTACCCACTGAAGAAAGTCACTCCTCTGGGGTGGGAGCTTTCTCTGCCTGGGCAGGGTGACATTCCCCAGGGTGGATCTGAGCCTGGAAGTTCAGTTCAGGCTCCTGTGACCTACTAAATGACTTTTTTGTTTTCTTCCAAGGCCTGAGTTGGAGCTAGCTGCTCAGCTGGGCCTTTGTCAGTATCAAAGTTGGAGATCTCTGGTGGTGGGGGATGGGTATGCTTCCCTCCTCTGCTCCCTGAGAAGGAGTGAGGATGTCAGGGTCCTACTCATGCTAGAGTCTTAGTTCCTGGCTTGTCTCTGGTCTGCGATCTGCAGGATGAAGATACTTGCTTCTTGTCAGTTTTTTGCTGGTGGTGAGTAGAATCCGCTCTCCCACCATGTCGGTGGCCTTTATCCTGGACTCTCTCCCTTGGTATGGCAGCTCTGGCCACTGTCACTGACATTGCTGCCTCCACACCTGCAGCTGCCAGCAAGTGCTCAGATCTGTCTCCTTGCCTGAGTTTTCCAATTCTGGCCAAACTTTCTGTACTGTGATGGCACACTTGGTGTGATTCTCTAGCCTAGGACTCTTCTCTGGAACACTAAAACTGCTTTCTATGCATGAGCTTGTTTAGCCTCCAGATTTTCCACAATCTTCCTCAGATTCCAAATCTGGAGTCTTTTGCTACTACAGCCACCATTACCACAGCCCCAAACTGAGTTGTGTTGCTTCCTCCGGCCAGGAGAGAGGCACATGGGGATGGGGAGGCTAGGTTCCCTGGCCACTGCTGCAGCCACTGCCCTGCCTTGCCTGCCGCTGCCACCCCAGCCTGGGTGGTTCACTAATGCAGGTCAGTGGATGAAGGTTCTGTGCCCTGCAGCGAACCTGAGGTTGTCCTGGGCAGGGCCCAATGCTTACAAGGGCTGGTGCAGAAAGGTGCTGTGCTGCACTGCAAGCTTGGAGGCTTTTGAAACTTCCAGCACAATTACTCAAGCCCCAAACTGAGTTGGGTTTCTTTCACAGGCTGAGCGAGAGCGACACAGGGCTGAGGAGTCTAGAGTCCATCGCTGCTGCCACCTCCAACGCCCTGCCTCGGCTGCTGCTGCCACCTCAGGCTGGGCTGGGCCACTTATACAGGCCAGTGCAAGGAGGTTCTGTGCCACACAGAGAGTCTGCGGTTGCCCATGACTGGGCTCATGAGGGCCATTGCAGAAAGGTGCTGTGTGGCTCTGACAGCATATGTTTGTTTGCTGCTGCTACTGCTGTTACCTCTGCCCTGGACTGGGCTGGGCTGTTCCTGCAGGCCGATGTGGAGAGACTGTGAATGAGCGCCTGCGGTGGTTCATCGCCACTGTCACTGCCACCACCACTGCTGCTGGTGCTGTTGCTGGCTGCCACTCAGGGCAAAACTAGGCTGTTTATGCCCGCCTGTGCCGAGGCACTGTGTCTTTGGGGGGTCTTTGTGCAGGTTCGGCATTCCAGGTGTTCTGCATGTATTATCCAGGTTCGCACTGGCCCTTGGGAGTCTTCAAAGAGCCTTGGGACGTTTGCAGCTCTGTGGTTCCTGGCGTGGAGCCCTGCCACCCGACATGGAGCCCACTGACAGTAAGGGGTGGGGGAAGGGTCTTCCTACTTAACTGTCTTTGTGTAAGTTCTGGAGTTTTTCCTTTTTCTTTTTTTCACTTCCTGTATCTCTCTGAGTAAGTGCCTTTTTGTTGTTGTTGGTCTTTTGAAGAAATGGAACATTAAAACCTGAACTCTCTATTTGGTTGGAGAGAGCTGTGATGTTTCCCTACTGTTCGGTCACATCTTGGACTCCTCAATTTCTTTAATACACATTTTTTATTGTTATTGTAAAAGTGATAGACAAATGGGTTACAATTATGTAAGACAGATACTGAAACACTAATTTTAACTGCAGGGAATATGCCAGGCATTAGTTAGGCATCAACATTTGATTATAACATTAACCAGTTTTGAAAAAGGAGGCTCTGAGGTGGGAGGGAAAGGATGGTAGGGGAAAAACAAAGGAGGAGGCACAACGTGGATAAGACATGTACTCATAACCTTAGTCAGGTAACTGTAACCCCTCTGTACGGTATTTTCACAATAAAAAACATTTTAAAAAGAATGTAAATATATTAATCAGTTTAGAATAACTAAAACCAAGCAAGTTATTCCTGTTGTCAAGTATTCCGTTAATTGTTATGCTATTTTCTAAAAGCAATTACCAAACTAAAATAACCCATTTATTTCCATTTGATGAATTTTGCACAAACTGAAGTTCAGTGTATGATGGATGGCTTTTCCAAAGTTGTGATAGCTGTTTTTACTGTATCTCTCCGTTATTGTAAATGAAAGTATATCCATTTCCACACCAGAACACATTTTAGAGACACACCACCCAGAACCTTGTGGTTGCAAAGATTTTAGAGGTTCACAAACAAAGATAGGAGTTTTTACTGTATCTCTACATTTTTGGAGATGAAAGTATATCCAATTCCACCCCAGATTACAATATTAAAACAAGCACCATCCAGGTACTGGTGGCTCATGACTGTAATCCTAGCTACTCAGAAGGCTGAGATCTGAAGATTATGGTTCAAAGCCAGCCTGGGCAGGAAAGCCTGTGAGACACTTATCTCCAATTAACCACCAGAAATCCAGAAATGCTGCTGTGGCTCACTTGGTAGAGCACTAGCCTCGAACTGAAGAGTTCAGGGACAGCACACAGGCTCAGAGTTGAAGCCCCACAACTGGCAAAAAACAAACAAACAAGCACCACTCCGGAGCCCCTAAGTTCAGTAGTCTTCCCAGGTTCATACTCAAAATTTGGCATTTTCACTCTATCTCTCCTCTTTTGGAACTAAAAGCTTCTCCTATTCCACAGCAGAACACAATATTACGGCAAGCCTGAACACAGAGCCCTCTATTGCACAGAGTTTGGAAGTTCACAATCAAAGATAGGTGTTTGCACTACAGCTGTGCTTTTTAGGAAATAAAAGTACATCCAATTCCACATCAGAACACAATTTTAAGACAAGCAGCAACCCAGAGCCCTTTGTTGCATAGATTTTGGAGGTTCACAGTCAAGGATAGGTATTTTCACTCTATCTCACTTTATTGGATATGTTAATAGGTCCATTACCAACATGGAGCACAGTTTTAAGACAAATCCAACCCTGGGCCATGTATTTACACTGATTTTACATGTTCACCATCATAGATAGCTATTCCCCTATTTATTGTGTTTCAGTGGGTATTATATATAGTTCTAATCAATTAATAAGTGTGTTATGAGGTTTAAAGCGATTTGGGCCAAAAGGATAGCAATATGAGCCACTTTGGTTTGTCTCATTGATTACAGATTTTGTCTAGCTTAATGTCTCACAACCGGAGAGCAAGAGAGTAAAGATAACAAAGAAAGAGTGAAGGACCAGGAATAATGGAAAATGGGTTGAGGTGAAATTAGAGGAAAAACTGAGAAATGTAAACAAAATTAGTAGGAGAAAATAGAGTAGAGTCATGTAGAGAAGAAATGACACATAGGGAAGAATATTAGGACTTACATTCAAAGTAAGAAAAAAAGAAGAAACAGAAACAGGAGA